CACGGATCGGTTGCTGGGCGGGAGCCTTGGCTCCTCGGGGGCACTCCCAGGACCAGCCCGGCCGGTGCTGAGGGGGTGCTGAGGGCTCACCCCGGCGGGGTTTATCCCGATCCCGGTTTATCCCGATCCCGGTCCCTGTCCCAGCCCGGCCGGTGCTGAGGGGGCGCTGAGGGCTCACCCCGGCGGGGTTTTTCCCGATCCCGGTTTATCCCGGTTTATCCCGATCCCAGTCCCGGCCCCGCCGCCCCTCGTTCCCCAGCCCGGCCGCCAGCGCGGCGCCGTTGCCATGGCAGCGCGGGCCGCGGGAGAGACCATTGGGCACGGCGGGGCGGGGGGGGCCGGGGGGGAGAGCCCGTTCCGTGCGGGGGGAGCCGAGCGGGTGAGGGGAGAGCCGCTCTCGGACAGCGCTCGGGTTATCGCAGAACAGCCAAATTATTTGGGCTGGAAGGGACATTAAAGATCACCCAGTGCCACCCTTGCCGTGGCAGGGACACCTCCCACCGGTTGCTCCAGCCCCAATGTCCAGCCTGGCCTTGGGCACTTCCAGGGGCAGCCACAGCTTCTCTGCCAGGGCCTCCCCACCCTCACAAGGAACGATTTCTTCCTAATCTAAACCTGCCTTCCATCAGTTTAAAACCGTTGCTTCTTGTCTTGTTGATGCCAAATTTTTTTTTGCTTTTATATTTCCTTCATATGTACTCTTCCATATATACTTMAAAATCATTTTGGCATCAGTGTCGCTCCAGGCCCTTATAATAATTCCCTCTCCCTCCTTTTGATGTCAGCCTCTCTCCTCTCCACTCCCATCTCATGTCAACCTTTATTCCCAAAGCACTGCAGAACATCCCCCCATTTGTCTTTGAATCCAGGCTCCTCTATGGTTTCATTTTAACTTATTATTTATTCACCGCTCTGGAGGAACCAATCTCCTTTTCCTGCTGATTTAGTGCCATGCCTTAAGTAGCTAAAATCTAAATCAACCTCGCTGAGCTCAAGGAGGCTTCTAATCGCTCTTGCTATGAGTTATCCCATTATCCACACTAACCTTTAGTTAGTGC